TGAACCGCCCCAGCACATGGAGACACCCTCGACGATGGTCCCCGACCAGGCACCCGCCTCCGGCCATCACTACCACCGTCACCACCATCATCATCATCACCATCATCATCAACGCAGCGCGTCCACCACACCCAGCCATGGCCCGACCACCACCGACACTTCCGAAGAATTCGTCGCCGTTTCGAGGAAGCGAAAGCTCTCCTGCCAGTAAGTCGAATCGTCATTTTTTTCAGTTATGATTTTTTTAATCGCTCTGGATTTTTATTGAATGAAAGTGTAAAGGTAGGAAACGATAACTGTAGATTTAATTTCATTTGGGATTAGGATTTTTTACTGAATTTTATTGCTACCTTGAGTGAGTAGGGGTTGATAAGAAGAGAATAATGTTTGAGGATATAGGTAGGGATGTTTTTCTTTAGAAGAATTAATTTTAATCGAACGATGATTCTTTAGGATGGTTACTGTGGATTCTTTTTGGGTGAAAGAATAAAAGAAGGAACTGGTCACTGTAAAATTTGATATTTATTATGTGAAGATATTTTAAGAATTTTTTATGGAATTTTATTCCTACGTTGTGCGGGTAGGGTATATAGGAAGAAAGCAATTTATGGAGATATTAAAACGGGTGAAAAATTGATTATAGACATATGTATATTAGAATTTTTAATCAAGATTGGTAGGTTTAGTGTTAAGTGATTTTTGAGAAAATTATCTCAATTATTTTAAACTAAGGAATTTAAGATTTTGCATATCTGCTTTTCATTTAGTCGAAATAATTACATACAATTCGATTTTAATTTAATTATTTTGGATTTATAAAAATGATCAGTTATAAAAAAATTGGAAACTAGAAGTGGAACAAACCTTTATATCTACTAGCTGAAATTTCTCTATGATTATTTTCGAATTCATTCAATTTTTTTCCTAAATTAAATTGTTTATTAATTCTGTTCCTTTTTAAATATACTTTCCATATATACATATGTATGTTATATTTGTATTTATTCTTTTGCACAAGACTTCTCTGTTGTATCATAATTATAATCCCAGAATTCATTTCATTTCTATCCCGTGGAACTCCATATTATTTATCTAAAGTTAGCATATTGAGAAACGTATCTAATAAATATAAAACATACACATAGCTAGGTAACTATAATAGTTCACAACTAGATACCCAGAAATTTTTAATATAAAATAAAATATATCCACATTGTTATCCACTGTTTTTTTCCTTATTGAAAATTCCAAAGACGAATGCAATTTTTTCCTACGAAAATAACTTGGAAAACCTCGTGTCGAATTAATGCAACCGAGACACGCAACCTAAAAGAATGAAACGCACGAAAACCACTTTGTTCCGCACAAAGCCAGTTCGACTATAGACGTAGGTGGAAGTCGTACAGCACATTGGACTATTACACACATTAACCTGCCACCCATGGAGAATACGTCGAAACGAAGCCACCTAAATGTATTCAAGAGTGACATTTCCATCTACAAACATCTTTCTGGCCCGTTTCGCCCTGCTGCCGCAGCTCGACGCCGCGTTCCATGGTGTTTCCCGTTAAACGACCGCAACTCCGAGTAATTACCAATCAGGGTGTCGGTTACCCGCTCAAAGGGTTAACTTAATCATTAACAGAACCAAAGATTTGCGTCTCTCGAGACGTAGCTGGTCGAAATTGCCTTTAGTGAACGTGTCGTGCTGCATCTGACCGGAATCTATCTAATTTCGCGTCTTTAAGCGAGTTCATGAACCGTGAAGTCGAAACTGCGGCCAAAATCGTGACAAAACTTCCTCTTGACTCACACTGTCACGAGAGTTTTAGATTTTTTGCCAAGATTACCGTCACGATTAATATGCATACATAGATTAACATAGTACAACCGGACCTCTGTTATATGAATTAATTTGAAGATAATAGTGCTCATATTAGATAACTTTCATTTAATAGAACAAGAATAATTGGTATTCTTATTTGATACCTAAAATGAAATAAAATTGAAAAAATAATAAAATCTTTCTTCTCAAATTGAAAAAATCAAGTGTACAATGGTTGATTTTGCAACATCACATTTTTACGCTGGACTTCGTGCAGATTCGCGAAAACCTCTTTTCTGAAACTGTGCAATTTCCAGAAATAAATATAATTAAATAAATTAATATAATTTTTAGATTACGTTAGATCCTTTTTTGATTATCGATAATACTCGTTTCTGTTTTAGTGACATTACGGTCTAACATTATGCTACATGAAGCAAATAGACACCTTGTATGTTTATGTACAATATGCAATTGGGAATATAATAGAATATTCGCATAATAGAGGTTCTACTTAACTGAATAAAGGAAGAAAGTAATATTTGAAAATTTATTCAACATATGTTACAAGAAAAATCATGGATTTAAATGAACAAAGCGATAATTTTGAATGCAGAGTCTTTAATTTAATTTTAAAATGTATTCAATAGATTTGAGAAATTTTAAGGAATAATAGATTTAAGTAATAATAGATAAAAATTATATTCAATCTTGTAGTAGTATAATTTGTAATTAATACGTAATTTTGATTATAACGGAGTAATTAGGAAAGAATTAAAGACACTTCGTGGTAGAGGGTATGAAAATTATGCGTGCCTCTTAAAGCTTACAAGACAAAAGTGTACAGACGAAGCTGTATGCGAACGAAACTTGGTGAAATTTTACATCAAAGGGGTAACGCCCCTTTCGAGGTATGCACGCCGAAGAAATTGATTCAGTAGTATATACTTGGTTTCTTGATGTTTCGACGTTTCAAGGTTCGAGTAGGTCTTCCTCAATTATTATTTGGTTATATTATTCCAAATAATATAACACTCAGGGTAAAAGTACAAGTAAAATTCAAATTATAGAATTTTCTATGTTATGATTTAAAATAATGAAATTTCTGCTGGAGGATGAAATACAATCTCGTATCGGTCTATTTGAACTCTTAATATTAAATGTACACTCCTGTTCATAATTATTAAGACGTTTATTGATAATAGAATAAACCTGAAAAATTATTAGGAAGTTATGAAAAGCTTTAAAAATTAATATTCTATTTAAAACCTTCGATCCCTAACTAATTTTTTGAGTTCGCACTGTTAAGGAAAGATTTCGAGGATTTTCAGGAAATCGGTTAATGAAAAATTTAAGAATTCTAAAGAATTTATAGACCTTGCGTTATGGCCAAAATATGAAGTATGCAAATTAATTTTCTACCTTTGTAAATTTATTTTACTTTAACTACTACCATAAATTCAAACATTTCCCCACCAATTTCAAAGAAATATTTTTGTTCTATCCAAATCGCAAGAAAAAAATCAGCAAATTAACCTACTCACCTGATACAAACTTTTCTATTAAAAATTCAAGAAAAGTTCAATATTTTCACAAGCTACGTTTTCTGTTTCAGCGACGGCAGTGATTTATTGGACGACGCAGGAGACGATGCCAAATCTGTTCGCACAAACGACGACAGCAAAAAGTAAGTGAAACACATCAATGATATCCACCTAACTATCCAAATTCCATGGACATATCTTAATCGAATATCTCAATTAAACGCTGAAATTCGCGTAAATTATTCCAACTCGTTATTACGTGGAATGCTATCGCGTAATGCTCATTGAACGTGATACCAGTGTTCCGTCAGGTGAAAGTAGATATTTGCACGAAAAGCTCGATAAGACTCGCGAAGTATGCAGGAGTTGATTTGAACGTGGCAAGAAACCGCATTATGGCTTAAAGTTTAATCTTGGTCAGCGGTTATGTAGTATTATGTCAGGTATTGCCAAGGTAAGTGCCACCTTGACCTACCTCGATTCTTTGCTCTGGCTTCATCTGCGACGTCATTAATCCAATCTACGCCAATGTAGATTATAAACACGGCAAAAAATGACAGCGCGTTTATTTTCTGCCTCGGGGACATTTTACAGCCATTTTTCTCCCATGATTAATTTGTCATCGGTAAACGACGTTAGGACGGATCTAGAATCGTTGGAGTCATTATATCAGCGTTGAAAGATCGATCGAAAATCAAATACTTTTGGTCATATGCCGATAATTTTGTGTCGCTGACAATGAAAGTGATTTAATTGTTGGTCATACGTGTTTCGTTTCAAAATATTATCCAATTATTCAACCCTTTTTTATGTAAATTACATTCGACACTTTTTTTCATTCCAAATGGTTCATAATCAAGAATCTATATGGAAACGCTGTTTAAAATTAAATTCTACTTTAACATTTTTCTAATGAATCTATCTTGACACACTTTTGTAGAGTTAATTAAATTTTTGTTAAGTAAATTAAAACACGGAGGGTTGTCAAGTTCAATTTGGTATAGGACGACAAAGGGTTAAAAGTATCATGCGTTAAAAAATTAATTAGGGTAGGGATACTAACTTGATCAGACTATTCAATTTTTCATTATTTGAATGAAATTAGTTTTGTCTTATCGTAATATAAATTAATACAATGATAAACTTGATATTGAACTTGAAGATTACTTCAATTAGTTACTCTAATTCAGACATTACATCGCTTTTAAAATATCGATACCACGGTGGTGTGAGTCTTAATTTTAATAATTAAAATGCATTATTACCTAAAAACTGAAAAAAAATTAACTTGTCTCTTTCTTGATGTGTACCTTTTAATTGATTTATAACGTTAATGATCTATTAACATAAAGAAACAAGCAACTCAAAGAAAATATATCAGAAATAAGTCACCAACTCGTACAAATTACAATTCCTCATCGATTCGACTCTGGAACGTCGATGAAACGATCTAGCAAGATCAAAGGCAAACAAGGATAAAAAGACAATCGATAAAAACAATTCTACGACTTTTCTGAATCTCCAATAGCTAACGAGTCAATCGACCGTCTCCTAGGCCAGTTAACCTTCTTCCTCGCGACTATGGTCGCGCGATACAGGCGCACGCGCTTGCGTAACATAGAGTAAGCGGGAAACAGGGCATAATCGACACGTAGAGACCGATTAAAATCGCATTAAAATGCGTAATGGACGGTTGTTGGCCGATGGTGGTTACTCGTTGGGACATTCCGCTGGCCGTGTATTTCTTAAATTAATAAAGCGACGCGCGGCCCGCTCGTGAACCGAAACTGGTTTCTCGTAGCCTCGACTTCCGCCCGGCAATTGATCGCCACGGGACATGAATGCGAATTCCTGGCAGGCAAATCACCGGTGTTCGCTCACAAAAGCGACGTTTATTAGCTGAATCGCCTTTTATAATTGATTCACCGCGAGACGGGTCACGTCTTCGAAGATGACTGAGGATGACGAGGACTGAGATCCCGAACTTTGACACACCGGTGAACCTTCACAATGTTTTCGTTGTAGTAACAGGAGGAGGATCGACTTGCTCTCATTCGAAAATCCGCTAATTTCATTTGATTATTAGAGGCTTTTCCAGTTGGACGAGATTTTCTTGGGGTAAAGATGATCCGCGTTTTGATCGATGACGATCGATGGTGACCAAACCAATGAAGAGATATGTATCTTTATGTGTAAATCGTTATTGCTCGAAGACCATGCCCTGGGTTAACACGGTTTCGATTTTGTTTAAAATTTTCTTTTCTCTCTGTTGATATAATTCTACTTTATTTATTGATCTCCATTTAACAACTGAAAATTTCTAAAAATCATTCGTAATACCAATATAAAGCCAATAATACGATTGCAACGATTAATCGAAACCGTGATCCAGAGATTCAGAGTATATAGAAGAAGAGAAAGTTCAATTTCACTGTACACAAACGGTAAAATTGTTACTACGATATAAAATATCGAGGCGTTCCTATAAATAACATTCTCGGATACATTTTCTATTTAAATAAAAAACTGTTACTACTTTGATAATGTAATCTTAAAAAACATAAAACCCTACGTATTAAATTTCTATAGCTACTGTAATTTTAAAGACATATACATAGATGAATAGCAAAACGGCTAAATAACATATGTACAAGGAGTATTTTTAATCTAAAGGAATTATAGCTAACAACAGAAATAGTTTTGACTCATCTGGAGATCCTTAGCAAGCCCATAAAATTCCAAAGCAAGAAATACGAATTTTCTAGTTACCTAACATCCATTCTACATACCTGACGTCACTACCATCGCATAAAATCCAATGAAATATTAAAACGCACTGATATATCTCTCTTCTTGTTCTTTTTCAGACAAAATCACAGCGAGATCGAGAAAAGGAGGAGGGACAAAATGAACACCTACATCACCGAGCTTTCAGCGATGGTACCGATGTGCCACGCAATGTCCCGCAAACTCGACAAGCTGACCGTGCTGAGGATGGCTGTGCAGCACTTAAAGACCATCCTCGGGGCCGTTACCTCATACACGGAAGGTCATTATAAGCCAGCGTTCCTCAGCGACCAAGAGCTCAAGACGCTCATACTTCAAGTGAGTTCGATGAAAAATTCACCATCTTCTCTCCATACGATCGATCTTTATCTTAGAAAGTTCGCAGCTTTATGCCCACTAGCAACGTTGTCTTGGCTTCGTGCCGGCCAAGTCGGACGATTCGACGGGTTTATATCCCCGACCATGCAAAGTAACGTATAAATTACGCGATCCCGGGAAAACGGAGGAATTGCATCGCGTTGCCATTGCATTGTGCGAGTTGCGTCATTGAAAGGATAAAGCTGTCGAATCGGACAGACCGGTGTGAAGTCGCAACGGTGACGCACCTGTGCCGTTTGGCGGCTTCGAATTTTCAAAAATGCATACGTGAAACGTGAATTATGCGATCCTGCAGCAACGTGGTTCCACGGGTGTATTACGTCATTGAAAATATAAACCTGTGGAATCACGCAGCGCCAATATGGCGATGAGACATCGATGGCCACAGAGATCGGGTGCGATGAACTCGAAAAATGCGATCGAGGAACATCCGTTATGGTTGTGATGAATATTCGTGGGATCCCATGCAGCGGGATTTCCATTATCAAAAATTCTGTTTGATTTAAATTGACAAATTGTGTCGGACTCTTGCAGTCGGTGGTACCATGTTTTAGATATGAATAGTGTTTCTGATCAAAATGGTCAGTAGATTATTTAGTAAACTTTTCTTTGCTTCGAACAAAGTGATTACCAGTAGTTGGACAATCCAGTAGTATCCACATGTTTCGCTCTTTGAATGTTCTTTTATTTAAACGGTATATTTTCCTATTTGTACCTTTCATTATTAAAATGAAGCCTCCGCTATCGAAGGGACGTAGTATGAACATTCCTACAACTCGATACCTTCATTGCTATCATTGTAATATGAAATTGATATTCTAAGCTGACTCAAGAATCAGAAGACTATAATGAAAGTGACTATGAAGATGTATCTTCACCACGAAGCATTTACGGTATTAAGTAAAGGATTTAAGTAAGGGATAAATGATAACATATCCTGTGATTTTCTGTGCTTTCTTAAGGTGAATGCAATGTAAGTTTTACATGTATAACCATATCAGGTTTACTTTTTTCTTTCTGTAATAATTAGAAGGAGATTAATCGTGGTTTACATCTTCTTCTACAAATTTGATTTGTTCGTGTAAGAGATGGGTGCAATAAAGGTTTCTCGCGTATTTTTGAATCCGAATTTGACAGCAAAACTTGCTGACAATCACGTTAGCCTTAGAAGATAGACGAATGTTGTTCTATCAACAACATCGTAACTATAATACTAACCTTCCTCTGTAAAATCAAATTTACAATCTAAAATTTCTTCTCGCGAAATAACACTGAAAATTACAAGGTATATAGTATAGATATGGTGAGATACCTAAATAACGAAAACATATCTCATTTACGTTATCATTGCGATCATTATCGTACTACATTTCCAAGTATATACAATAACAGCGAACAAGCACGTGTTTTACTATCCAGGAAATTATATTCCACTTATCCAAATGATCATGTCTCCCCGTAAATTCCAATACCGACAGTTTCACTGCACCATGAGTTCCATCCCCACCACGATCGTTCTTCCATACCCAAAGATTTCTTTCCCGCTGATCGACCATTTCGTAATTTCCCCACGAAAAAGAAGTTAAAAAACCGGTGTCAGTAATGACATAATACGCATCGGGGCTGAGTTGATAGCGTTATTACGATTGCAAAAGGCAAAGCAAGGGGAACGGGTATCACTCGACTGAAACTCTGAAAGCGACCGATTCCGACGATGAGATTATACGCCATTACCGATTCCGTATTCGGAAAACCAGATAGCAGATACGATTGTGCATACCATTCGAGTAAGACTTCCTGGTATTTCAGAATCACTTGCGTAATTCGAATAGCTCGATTGGAGCGCCAGCGAACGAGACAGAACCGACAGTCTGCGACTTTTTCCATCCGATCCGACGATTTTTCCCTGTAAATCGTCTTTTTGTCAAGCGGCGTTTGTACGAAAGACGCGAAACGATCCACGACTACGACGAGAATTTCAATTTCGATCCGAATCGGCGATCGCGCCGGCCGGATCGTTTCACTTTCGATTTCCAGCAGCGGTTTCCCATGCGGCTCGCAAGTGCGATCGCGCTAAAGCCAAAGTCATTAATCCGCTAATTGGAAGCAATGCGGGGGAAAAGTTTTTGCGTCGCTTGTAAAAGGCCGTCCCGCGGTTTTGCAATCGGTGCTGCTGAGAGACTGACTGTATCTAATAGCCATGGCTAACCTTTCTCCGGCGTGCTACACATTTTTCACGGGGATCGGTCTCGTGACTGGTGAAAGAGAAGGGTCCGCAGCATGTAGATCTGCAATTACGCGTCGCCGTTGATAATACGTTTCCCCGTGCCGTTTACCTCGATCGCGCTTCTGATCATCGATTATCCAACGCGCTTGTATCATCCATCGATTACTATTTGTTAATGATTCAGAGGAGGAATCGCCTGGTGAATGTCTCGCGATTAAAGGATCGTGATGAGGGATCGATGCGGTCAACTCTGCCGATAAAAATGTCACACGTCGTTTCCTTTTAGAAGCGGGTTTTCTCATGTTTAAATTTGAATCGCTGTATCGATGAAATTCCAGTTGCGTTCGTTAGTACGTATGATGAACCTGGAAGATGAAAATACTACACGTTACACTTTTGGGTGAAATTTTCAAGTTCTATATACCTTTAACAAATTTTATGCTTATTTACTATTATGTTTCTATTGTTTATTCCTATTTGCATTGTTTTTTCCTTCTTTTTATATTTTATAGGCATGTAACTTTAACCCTTAGGACCTCATGAGACTAGAAAGTTACATAAAGGTATATAGTGAAATATATAGAAATATTTTTCTTTTATTTTCTTATTTCTATATTATTTCATATTTTCTAGATATGCAAAAATATTTAAACAGAGATAATATTTGAACTTCTATTTAAGAAACGAGAGAGAGATTAAACGAAGTTTCATATTCTCTTCTGTTTCTGCCGTTTATTCGTGAAATTTTTAGTCATAAAATATTTTATGTACGACGAAAAACTTATTTTTATCATCGAATCGCTAACAATAATTATTCGTGATTGAACGTAGCTATTATTTCTATAATTACGAGTTCAATGCAATTACTTTATTTCATATCGCTGTTATATCGGTGCTGAAAGAAACCGAAAAGTCTTGATAAAATCCTTGATTTAATACCACGTATATGGCAATAATCATTATTAACAGCGCTTTGCGTGGACTTAATTGCAAATTGATTGGACTGAGAAACGAAAGCAAGCTCTTTGTATTATCTTCCTGAAGCATAGTTATCTTGCTATTTTTATTATTTGTCCACTTCCTTTATCGTTGCACACTCACATTACTTAGCTGCTAGCTCGGCTCGAAAACTGTATTGGTTTCAAATAAATCATCGATGAATATGCTATACAATTATACTAAATTAATTTCTTTGTTCTTCCTTTGTTCTTGTCTAAATTCAATAAATTAAATCTCGTATACTTCCTGTGCGAAACATTTGCAAAATGATCTAAAATAATCTAATAGTATTTACGAAGAGTAAATATTCGTGTACATTAGTTATTTAACGTATTAAAAATGACTCATAACATGTATATTGAAGACTTTGATGTATGATACATTACATTTTCATATTTACAGATGGCTAATTACTACCAGTAGCATAATTCATCAAGATTTATGTCGACTAGAAAAGCACTATATTAAAGTAAAACTTTTATAAGCTCTTTGCTTGCGACGAAGATTTATTGGAATTCAGATCACCAATCATTTTTAATACGTGGTAAATTTTCTAAATCTTTTACGAGTCGTGAAAGTTAGCATAAAATAAAAATTATCCCTTCTTCTCGGTATTCGGAATTATAGAATATCTTTTATTATATTCGAATTTTGCTTCGAAGCTGCGTTCAGAATTAGAAATTATTTCCTATTTATTCTCGTTATTTAGAAACAGCTTATGATCAATTAGAAGTTTGCAAACCTTTAGCTTATTCTCAGCACCTAACAAATTATCCATTTTTTCTATTATTTCTTAAATATCCCTGATATCTAAAAAATCTATCAAAAATTCTTTTACAACTTTAAACTTCGCTAAAAGTAACTTTTGATCGTTTAAAAATTTCGTAAACTTTTAACTTTCCGCCAAAGTTATTCCAAAATTGAAACTATAAATTATTTTTAAATTATTCTCAACATCCGTTATTCAAAAAATTATCCACTATTTCCTCTTTATCCTCAGTGTCTAAAAAATCTACCAAAAATTCTAATACCGTCTTAGAAATCTCAAAACCTTCATTTCGTCATCCAAACTAACCAAAAATCAAATTATAAATTATAAATTCCTCTTAATCCATCTACTATACCCCAAAAATAATCCAATATTTCCTAATTATCCTCAATGTCTAGCAAATACCCCAGAAATTCTTCTACCTATCAAAAATTCTCCAATCCATCTTTTCATCCAAACCATTCTAACATCAAACTTCCTCTCAACTTACATATCTGAAATACTCAGAAAACTACCTCTACCAATCTCCACGATCTAAACAATCTCTCAGACTCTCCTCCACAGTTCCACAATTCTCCGAACCTCTAACCTCTCCTGGATTCACGCGAAGATGGACTGCAGACGTTCTCATCAAGCCACTCTCGCCGTCAGTGCAGCCTATTCTACACCACTCTTAAACTGCCATCCAATTTCCAAGCAGATAGACAAACGTCTCGCGAGATGTCTAACGGTATTGTCGCTCATTGCGAGTGAACGTACATACACAGGGCGTGTTCAGAAACGGGCGACGCGCGTCCATCGAGTACGTCGCTGACTGGTCTCGATGGCTTAAGAATGAGCCTCGTAAAACGGAACGGCCAGAGTTCCTTTTCACTCTGGATTCCGTCACGCGACTGAGCACGGAAAGTTCGTGTCGCTGGTTGCCGGACATTTTTCATTGTCGCG